GGCAACTATCAGCCGATAGTTCCTCGACAGAAACACTCTATTGTTTAAATAGAAATCTCGAGCTCATAATCTAATTGTTTAATAGAAACACGATTTTTTACCACTCAATGCTCGTATTTTCTTAGGACTGTTTTCTAACATAAATTAAGGTCAGTGATCACATAACGCCAGCTTCTCAACATCTACTGTACCTCTATCTATCTACCATAGCTGTTATGCCACATGGGGATGGCCAGTGGAAAAGGAACGCAAGGAGGAAGGGTGGGTCAGCTAGGCCGAGGAGCGCTGTACAAGACAGGATTGCTGGCGCTACATATCTTCGCTACACAGTGCTGGCGAGTCCCAATAAGGACGAAACAGCTGTCCACTATTGCGTTCTTGCTTTATCAGTTCTTGTCAGTTTTTATCCAGCCTGGTTTTCATCTAGCGTAGCAGGCAGGAGGCAGGTAGCCTGGTAGCAGGCGTTCATTTCCAAAACAACGCGAAGGGAACGAAACTGCGGGCGAGTGTGAAAAAATAAGGAGAAGGGAAAGGGGTGGGGCAAAAAAATTAATTCTCTCCTCCCCACCCCTTCCCCTTCTCCATTTTTGTTCACTCGTTCCCTAATTCTTCCTATTTTTTGCTCACCCCAGGGGCGCTCGTTTGCTCGCTTTCACCGCCTGAAAATAGAAAGGAAACGACCGCTACACAGGCCAGTTTTCATCGTTCAAACGCTGACATCGTAAATGCGTACTTGTAGCTGTCACTTGAGATAAAACCACTTGAGTTCACTGTTTTTGAGGCCTGAGAGAGTTTAATAATTTCATTGACAGCCGTTTTCATCGGGGGGAGGGGGGAAGGGTTTTACTGTAAATGAGCTTCATTTAGCACCAGTCTCTTACCGAGAAAATCTGACGCAAGTGCAAACGGCGATCCAGACACGTCAATAGCTTCTTCCTCATCGTCCACATCCTCCCAACCCTCCTCTCCCTGGCGACAAAGCAATCAAATACTGTTTCAACAGCTGGTTTATTGAACGTTTAGTGTTTTATTGCAGATTCAACCCTGACGCCTAAAAGTTGCAAAGCTGAGGCACCATACCCATTTCAAGATGGCGGCGGGGGCCCTATACATGGCGGCCATTTGAACGCCAATACATATGTTATTAAACTAAGGTGAGGTCAATAACGGAGAAATATTGCTCGAGTCCTTTTCATTTTTTTGCACTAAATGACAAGAGCGTTTAATCATACCTCATCCGAGTCCCCGTCCTCTTGATCGTCACCTGCCGCAGCACTCTCCAAAAGAGTGCCTAGCTCATTGATGATTAATTTAAATAGCTTTACTGGCACAGGAATCATCGTCCATTGCTCGGGAGCTGAAATGACAAGTATCACGATGAATAGGAGAACCCTTGTTAACAATATTTGCTTCATATCCAGAGCCAAAAATTTCACCAATTATCAAGTTTCACAAGCTCTTTAAATGTTTGTAGTCAATTCGTGTCTAGCGTGATGCCTTCTATGCGCAAAAGAGGAAAAATGTAAACAATGACATAAGCAAAGATTCGCCTGTAGAGCACCTTCTAAAGTTAAGTAAACTGAAATAGGAGACGCCGTGAACCAATGGTTAGCGCGCTGGACTAAGGAGCGGTCTGACTTCGAGCCCTGGCCGCGGACATTTTGTTGTATTCTTGGGCAAAACACTTTACTCTCACAGTGCCTCGCTCCACCCACGTGTATAAAAATTGGTACTGGTGAATTCGTGGGGAAACATGAAAGAAGTGCTGAGAGGATAACTGGGGAGTGTTAGCATTCCATTGAGGAAATACTCTTACTCGCTTCCTGCTTCGATAAAAGAATGTTGTCACTGTGGCTTACCTTTCGCCGTTCTGGATCTTGTTCGGATTCCTGCCACAAAGATGAAAAAAGCGAGTTGTTAAAGCCTGACGTAACGTGTCAGCAATGATCTGTAATAATCTTGACTATGGAGACGAAGATAAGGCAAAAGGTCGCAAGAGACATGGAGGAGAACAGTGGAAAGATAGCTTAAGGAGAAAGGATTAAGACCTCGGGCCGAGGCTGCAACGGCTGCGGAGGATAGGATAGCCTGAAAGCAGAGTCTCCATCAGGAAAACGGACAAATGATAAATGACCAAACTATGAAGATAATTGCAGCGATTTACCGTCATCGCATGTTATAGCGATAAATTATCACTTTTTTTCTGTTTATCACTGCAGAATTGAAATGTCGATGAAAAAAAAAATCATGAACATATTGAGAGTTCTTGGGGTCCAGTTACTTTTAGGTTTTTTAAAATGATTCACATTCAAACTCTTTTCAGACACAACGTATCCATCCTTGAAATATACAAATTGCTTCCAATAAAACCCCTCCCCTCCCGGTATACAAGGATTTCCGTTAAGGGCTGTTTCGTCTCCCTAAATATGATTGATGCCACCATTCCCAACATACTGAATGTTTTAAGACGCAGTTTACAAGTTTGAAACTCTTTATTACCTTCATCCTGTTGGAAAATCCTCTCTCCTTTGACTATGATACTCGAGAGTCTTTTGTCGCCAGTGTTAACGAAGAACTGTAGAACATTGCAAAGAGCCATTGTGCTGTAAAAGATAGAAAAACAACAATAAACTGAGTCTCCAAAAGCAGTAATCACAGGTTGGTAGGAGGAGGAAATTCTCTAAGGGACGGACAATTATTAATATTAATATTTTTTTTTTATTTAAATCAATCAATATTAATATTAATATTATTATTATATTATTATTATTAT